GAGTTTGCACCAGCCTTTTAATTGCTCTGAACAGGCAGGATTATTTTTATTATATATGTGTTATTGTCATAATTTTATGCTTATATTGTTTTGTTAACTTTTATATCATGCTGTTTACTCTATATGTTTTGGTGATGTTCCTTGGAAACCGCCCTGAGTCCCGCTCAGGGAGATAGAGCGGTATATAAATAAAGTTTTATATTTTATATATAAATGTGAGTAGATCAATAGGTACTGCTCAGGCGGGAAGGTAACAGCATGACCTTGGAGGCGTCAACAGACAACACAAATGGAGATGAGCACCACCACCCCCTAGTCCAGGGGTCCTCAAACTAAGGCCCGGGGGCCGGATGCGGCCCGCCAAGGTAATTTACCTGGCCCTCGCTCAGGGTCAACCTAAGTCTGAAACAACTTGAAAGCACACAACAACAACAACAATCCTATCTCATCAGCCAAAAGCAGGCCCACACTTCCCATTGAAATACTAAGTTTATATTTGTTAAAATTGTTCTTCATTTTAATTATTGTATTGTTTTTAAGTGGTTTGCACTACAAATAAGATATGTGCAGTGTGCATAGGAATTCATTCATGTTTTTTTTCAAATTATAATCCGACCCTCCAACAGTTTGAGGGACTGTGACCTGGCCCTCTGCTTAAAAAGTTTGAGGACCTCTGCTATAGAAGAACATTATTGGTAATTTGGTGTGGAAACCTTTACTTTTATGTAACAAAATTTGAAACAGTTTCTATTCCTGATTTGAAAGTATTATTTCCTATTTAATTGTACAATCCTTACTTTGAAAGTATTTGTTCTACTCCAGAATCTTTGTTTTGTGACTGCCACAAACTATGTTGAATTGGTTGCAACTCTTGAAGATATTAATTGAAAAACTATCACCTCGGAAAGTCCCACAAGAACAAATGTTGGGCAGTTTAATACAGTCTTCCCATGTTTTTTTATGACTGAACCAAATAGGAAATGACATTTATAACCCAGGAGCAAACATTGTGTTACATAGTGTTATTGATCAAAGTAAAGCTTGGTCATGAAACTTTTTGCTTGACATTTGGAGGCCATTTTCTCACAAATTTAATACATGGGCCACTGTGAGGACAATATGGGACCATCTCCATGTGCTCTGTGATAGGATTCAAATGTGGCATGTCCTCTGATCATCCAGATGCTGATAAAGTATATTTTCCATCAATGTTCTCCAGATATATCAGGCCACAAAAAAAGGAGTGAGAATCATATCACTTAACAAGCACTCCAAAATTAATACGCGGCAAAGATCTTGGAGTCTTCATGGACAACCAGTTAAACATGAGCCAACAATATGATGCAGCAGCTAAGAAAGCCAACGGGATTTTGGGCTCCATCAAAAGGAGTATAGGGTCTAGATCAGTGGTTCTCAACATGGGTCCCCAGATGTTTTTGGCCTACAACTCCCAGAAATCCCAGCCAGTTTACCAGCTGTTAGGATTTCTGGGAGTTGAAGGCCAAAAACATCTGGGGACCCACAGGTTGAAAACCACTGGTCTAGATCGAGGGAAGTCATGGTCCCTCTCTATTACGCTTTGGTTAGACCTCAGCTGGAATACTGTCCACTCCTGGGCACCACAGTTCAAAAGAGATATCGACAAGTTGGAAGGTGTCCAGAAGGTGGCATTGAATTGGACTATATGGCAGATAATAATAATAATATTAATAATCTATATAAATAAAAATGTAATATTCATTTGTGGGATTAACATAACTCAAAAACCGCTGAATGAATTGCCGCCAAATTTGGCCACAAGACACCTACTAATCCAAGGAGTGGCCATCACTAAAAAATGATTTTGACATTTGGGAATTATAGTTGCTGGGATTTATAGTTCACCTACAATCAAAGAGCATTCTGAACTCCACCAACGATGGAATTGAACCAAACGTGGCACACAGGACTCCCATGACCAACAGAAAATACTACAAGGGTTTGGTGGGCATTGACCTTGAGTTTGGGAGTTGTAGTTCACCTACATCCAGAGAGCACTGTGGACTCAAATAGTGATGGATCTGGATCAGACTTGGCACAAATATATGCCCAAATGTGAACACGGATGGAGTTTGGGGAAAATAGACCTTGACATTTGGGAGTTGTAGTTACTGGGATTTATAGTTCACCTACAATCCAAGAGCATTCTGAACCCCACCAACGATAGCATTGGGCCAAAACTCCCACACAGAACCCCCATGACCAAGAGAAAATACTGTGTTTTCCGGTGGTCTTAGCAACCCCTATAACACCCCCCTTGTGATCCCCTTAGGGGTCCTGAGCCCGAGCGCGGCCGAGACCCCCGCCTTCAAATTAGTATGAACCGTAGCGGAGAGTTCCGCAGTTCCTGGGAGCCAAGTTTGGGACCAACTGATGAAATGTGCCCCAACAGGCAGCTCAAAGCCAGAAATGCCTCTGCCTAAAAGCAGCTCGATATCAGTCCCAACCCCCCAAATTGAGAAATATTGCCTTAAGACCATCCAGTCCAACTCCCTTCACTAGGACAAGAAAACATAATCAAAGCCCTCCTGACAAAGAGCCATCAAGCCATAGATACAGAGAGGTATATTTGATTCACACACACATACACACATATATGTATATGACAGACATAATATCATAGATTTGAAAGGGATCCCTAAAGGACAATAATATGTTCCATGTTCCGGAGTAGGCAAACCAGACAATCTCCACATTAACACTGACAAAGAAACTGTTTACCCACAAGCAAAAAGAAATTACATATATTAGAAACCAACACTTTCTCGTTACTTGATTTTTGAAATCACCAGATTGGGCCACAGCAACGCATGGCAGGGGATGGCTAGTAATATAATAAAACTTTATTTATATTCCGCTCTATCTCCCCAGAGGGACTCATGGCAGATTCCAAACATAAAAGGCAAACATTCAATGCCTAAATACAACAACAATACATCCATAATAACAAAATTTATATAACCCAACATATTAATACCAATTATAACTTAACAAACTAAAATTAAATAAAAGCACACCCTGTTATAACATAAGACAAAGACAACCCAGTTCAAAATAGATATCGTGGATTATCTGCCTTAATATTCTGGATTATGTGGCTGTGTGGAAGGGCCCTGGAAGAACTGTTCAACAGTGGAACTCTCTGCCTCGGAGTGTAGTGGAGACTCCTTATTTGGAAGCTTTTAAACAGAGGCTGGATGGGTTGCTGTGAGTTTTCCGGGCTGTATAGCCATGTTATAGAAACATTCTCTCCTGACGTTTCACCCACATCTATGGCAGGCATCCTCAGAGGTTGTGAGGTCTATTGTAAACTAGGCAACTACGGTTTATAGTAAAGGTAAAGGTTTCCCCCTGACATGAAGTCCAGTCGTGTCTGACTCTGGGGTGTGGTGCTCATCTCCATTTCTAAGCCGAAGAGCCAGCGTCGTCCATAGACACCTTCAAGGTCATGTGGCCGGCATGACTGCATGTAACGCTGTTACCCTCCCGCTGGAGCAGTACCTATTCATCTATTCACATTTGCATGTTTTCGTGTCCCCTGACATTAAGTCCAGTCATGTCTGACTCTGGGGTGTGGTGCTCAACTCCATTTCTAAGCCGAAGAGCCAGCGTTGTCCATAGACACCTCCAAGGTCATGTGGCGGCATGAGTGCATGGAGCACTGTTACCTTCCTGCTGAACTGGTACCTATTGATCTACTCACATTTGCATGTTTTTGAACTGCTAGGTTGGCAGAAGCTGGGGCTGACAGCGGAAGCTCACGTGTGGTGCTCATCTCCATTTCTAAGCTGAAGAGCCAGCGTTGTCCATAGACACTTCCAAGGTCATGTGGCTGGCATGACTGCATGGAACGCTGTTACCTTCCCGCTGGAGCAGTACCTATTGATCTACTCACATTTGCATGTTTTAGAACTGCCAGGTTGGCAGAAGCTGGGGCTAACAGTGGGAGCTCACCCCCTCTCCCCAGATTCAAACCGTCGACCTTTCGGTAGACACCTCCAAGGTCATGTGGCTGGCATGACTGCATGGAACGCCGTTACCTTCCCGCTGAAGCAGTACCTATTGATCTACTCACATTTGCATGTTTTCGATTAGGTTGGCAGAAGCTGGGGCTGACAGCGGAAGCTCACGCCGCTCCCCAGATTCGAACCTGCGACCTTTCAGTCAACAAGCTCAGCGCTTTAACCCACTGCACCATGGAGGCTCCTTATCTGTGTTTATATATCTGTGGAATATCCAGGGTGGGAGAAAGAACGCTTGTCTGTTTGAGGCAGATGTGAATGTCGCAACTGATCACTTTTAATGGCATTGCAGCTTCAAAGCCTGGCTGGTTGCTGCCTGGGGGAATCCTTTATTAGGAGGTGTTAGCTGGCTATGATTGATTCTTGTCTGGAATTCCCCTGCTTTTTGAGTGTTGCTCTTTATTTAGTGTCCAGATTTTAGAGGGTTTTTTTAAAAAAGAGGCTGGATGGCCATCTGTCGGGTGTACTTTGTGCTTATCCTGCATGGCAAGGAGTTGGATTAGATGGCCCATGTGGTCTCTACCAACTATTATTATTGGAGTATTACAGTATTTTGATGGGAACGCACTATTGTGGCTTCACCTTCCAAGGAGCCAGGCACCTGGGAGGTTGGGAAGGGAGAAGAAGGGGGGGGGTCCGCGTGCCCACCATCCGGGGCTTTTTCTTTTCTTTCTTGCTTTTTTGCCTCAAAGAAGCCAACCAGGGCGGCTTCTACTCGGTGGAGAGCGCGCGCGCTAAAGTTCCTTCTGCATTTAGAGTTCCCTAGCCAATGCCTTCGGAAAGGAGGAAAAAAAAAAAACCTCACTCGGAACGCTTCGGGAGGGTTCGGAGAAGGGGCTCGCGCTCGGTTTTCGACCGGGCGGGGGAGGGGAGGGGAGAGTTTCTTTGCCCAGGTGAGCCGCGGCTGAGGCGAGCCTCCTCTCTGTCCTGGGGACTCACCCAGAAGACGAAGTTGAAGCCGAAGAGCAGGTACTTGATGCACTTGGTGCCCCCCTTGACGGGCATGGCGGCGACTCGAAGGCAGCGGGAGCGGCGGAGCTTCTCTGCGTGGCGAGGCGGGAGGCGCGTCTGAGCAGCCCCGGCAGGGAAAGGCGCTCCCTAGGGCCACTCCTCAGACGGGCTCGTCGCGGGCTCCACCCCGGCCCCCAGGGCCGCTCCCTGGGCTCCTCCGCCCGCCCTCGCCGGCGTCACGCCAGGCCTGCGGGCCCCGCTCTCGCCCTTCCCTCATCTCTCCCTCTCTCTCTGTTCTCTCCCCACTCTTCCCTCTCTTCTTTCTCCCTCTCCCCCCTCTCTTCTCTCCCCCTCCCCTTCGTTCCCCCCTCGCTTTTCCCACTCCCCCCTTTCTCTTCCCCGTCCCTCTCCCTTTCTCTTCTCTCTGGACCCTCACTCTCCCCCGTCTTCTTCTCTCTCCTCTTTCTTCTCTTCTTTCTCCCCCCCTCTTCTCCCCCTCCCTCCTCACTCCCTCTTCTCCCTTTACTCTTCCCCCTCTCTCTTCTCTCGCCCCTCTCCCCCGCCTTTTCTCTCCCACCCTCCCTCTCTTCTCTCTCCCCTCCCTCCCCCTCGTTTTCCCATCCCTCCCTCTCTTCCCTCTCTTGTGTCTCTCCCCCCCTTCTCCCCCTCCTCTCCCTTTCTTTCTCTCTCCTCCTCTCCCCCTCTTCTTCTTTCTCCCTCTTCTCTCCCCCCTCCCTCTTCTCCCTTTACTCTTCCCCCTCTCTCTTCTCTCGCCCCTCTCCCCCGCCTTTTCTCTCCCACCCTCCCTCTCTTCTCTCTCCCCTCCCTCCCCCTCGTTTTCCCATCCCTCCCTCTCTTCCCTCTCTTGTGTCTCTCCCCCCCTTCTCTCCCCCGTCCCTCTCCCTTTCTCTTCTCTCTGGACCCTCACTCTCCCCCGTCTTCTTCTCTCTCCTCTTTCTTCTCTTCTTTCTCCCCCCCTCTTCTCCCCCTCCCTCCTCACTCCCTCTTCTCCCTTTACTCTTCCCCCTCTCTCTTCTCTCGCCCCTCTCCCCCGCCTTTTCTCTCCCACCCTCCCTCTCTTCTCTCTCCCCTCCCTCCCCCTCGTTTTCCCATCCCTCCCTCTCTTCCCTCTCTTGTGTCTCTCCCCCCCTTCTCTCTTTCTGCTATATGTATTTATTCTCTCTTCTTTTCCCATCATTCATCCAATAAACTGTATGCTCATTAGAGAGCCTTCTGGTTGCATGACGTAAAGTGGCAGTTCCGGAGCCCTTCTCTTTATTTATTTATTTATTTTATTTATTTATTTATTTACTACGCTTATATACCGCAATTCTCAGCCTACTGGCGACTCATTGCGGTGTACAACATAGAAAAACAGGTGCAAGGTACAACATCAAATTAAAATAATCCACAATACATAATTATCAAAACATCTCATCAAAACATCAACCTTACTACAATACCATTCCGAGTCGTCTCATCGTCAAATTCACAATCCGATACCATTCCGTTATTCCATTCCTATGGTCAGGTTACCAGTCATTGCACTTCTATTCAAAAGCCTTCTTAAACAACCAGGTCTTCAGCTTCCTGCGGAAAATCAACAGGGAGGGGGCTAGCCTGATGTCTACGAAGGGTGTTCCACAGCCGAGGAGCCACCACCGAGAAGGCCCTATCTCTCGTCCCCGCCAGCCGTGCCTGTGAAGCAGGCGGGATCGAGAGCAGGGCCTCCCCGGAAGATCTCAAAGTCCTCGTGGGCTCATAGGCCGAGAGGCGGTCAGTTAGGTATATTGGGCCGGAACCGTTTAGGGCTTTATAGGCCAATGCCAGCACCTTGAATTGAACCCGGTAGCCCCCCCCTCTCTCCCCCTCACTCCCTCTTCTCTCTGGCCCTATACTGTTCCCCTCTCTCTTCTCTCTCCCCTCTCCCCCTCTTTTTCTCTCCCCTACCTCCCTCTCTCTTTTCTCATCCTTCTTTCTCCTCTCTTTCTGTCTCTTCTCTCCCGCTCCCTTCCAGTGCGATGATCCTATTTTTGTAATCTTGCACTAGTCTCATCCACTCCATTTCCACTTCTTTCTCTCTCTCTACATCTTTTTTCTTCTTCTGGTGCCCTTCCCTCATTTCCCTTCTTCTCTGCTTCCTCTCTTCTCTCCTATTTCTCTTCAAGGCATTTCCCCTTCCTCTCTCTTTCTTACCTACACTAATCCCTTCTCTACACCCACCTCCTCTCCACTCTTTCTCCATCTCCTATCTGTCGGATAAACACTCATCGACACAACAAAATCTACCCGCCCACCCACCACAAAACGTCCTCCTTCTCTTGGCCTTCAACGTCTCCCCCTATTTCGTCGTACTTATCCCCCTTCTTCTCTTCTTCTTCACCTCTTCCCTCCTTCTTCCTCCTTCCTTTTCTTCCTCTTTCATTCCTTCTCCTTTACCTTCCCTTCTTCTTCTCTTCCCTCCTCTCTCTCCCCCTTCCTTCCTCCCCCCCTCTCTCGCCTCTCCCCCCCTCTGGCCCTTTACTCTCCCCCACTCTCTTCTCCCTCCCCTCTCCCCTCTCACCCTATTCCCTCTTTCTCCCTGACCCCCTCACTCCATCTCTCTTCTGTCTCTCCCCCTCCCCTTCTCCTTCTCTCTCTTTTCCCACTCCCCCCTCTCTCCCTTCTTCCCTCCTTCATCTCTCTCTTTTTCTCTCCCTCCTTCCTCTCTACCTTTCTTTCTTTCCTTCTTTCTCTCCTTCCCTCCTTCTTCTCTTCCTCCTTCCTTTCTTCTCCACCCTTCTTTTACTTCCTTCTCCCCCTCCCTCCCTCCCTCACTATTGCACCTCTCTCCTTTGCACAATAGGGGCTGTTCAGTCCCGCCACCTCTCTTCTCTCTACCCGCAATTTTCTCTCCCTCTCTCCCTTTTCCCCAGTCACTCCAATCTACCCACTCTTCCGAACATATTCCCTCTTTCTCCCTGACCCCCTCACTCCATCTCTCTTCTGTCTCTCCTCTCGCCCCCCTCCCTCTCCATCTCCCCTCCGCTCTTCTTTGGCCCCTCACTCCCCCCTCTTTTTCTCTATCCCTTCTCTGGATGTAATTTCCCTCTACCCTTACCGCGCAAAATCATCTGCCACTCATCAATCCCCCCGCCTTCACTCTCGTATCACACCCTCTCCTCCTCTTCTAAGTCGATGTCACCAGCCGTTTCATCATAGCCACGCCCTCCCCTCTCTTCGTCTATCCCTGACCCCCTCCACCCTCACTCTCTCTCTCTTCTATCTCTCCCCCTCTCTCTCCCCTTCTCTTCTCCCACACTCTCCTAATTCTTCTTTCTCCCCCCACTCTTCTTTCCTCTCTTTCCCCCTTCTTCCCTCTCTCTCTCTTTCCCCTCCCACTTATACTCGGACTGTTTGCCAGGCCCCAGGAAGGCTGCTTTTTCCTTTGGTCCCAGAGAAGCTTTCACCTGCTTTGAAAGTGTTATTTCCTGTTAAATTGTGTGGAGTATAACAACTACTTTGAAAGTAGTTGTTATACTCCAGAAACTTCATTTTCTGTGGCTGAGGGGAGTACTATTGTTTCCACTAGTCTCTAGGCACTGGGTTTGTAATTTTCCTTAATGAAAATAATGCTGGGTTGCTGTGAGTTTTTGGGGCAGCATGGCCATGTTCCAGTAGCATTTTCTCCTGGTGTTTTGCCTGCCTCTATTATTATTATTATTATTATTACCATTATGTTTACTTCTATCAACAATTGTGCCACACAGGTTACAGAAAACCTACGCACACTGAGATACCTGCATAAAAACTCCAGCCATCACCCAGGTCTAAAAAGAAGCACAATTAAAGCCCTGACAGATTGTTCAAACAAAATCTGCGACCCCCCCCCCCAGTGAACTGAACACCTAAACTGGGTCTACAGGCCAATAGTTACTCCACTACAGACATCAGGAGAGCTGCAAGATCAAGAASAAGCCATGAGAGGAAAGATAAAGATCCACGTAGAGGAAAAGTATTCTTAGSATACATCCAGGGAACCACTGACCACATATGAAGAAACACAACCTCAAAATAATCTACAGACCCACCAAAATTTCAACAAATACATTCAGCAAAAGATAAGAGGGATCCTCTAACCACTACAGGAGTCTACTGTTTACCATGCAGCTGTGGACAAGTCTACATAGGGAACACCAATCGCAGCACTGCCCAAACACCAATCAAGGAACATGAAAGGCACTGCAGACTAATTCAACCAGAGAAGTTAGTTATAGCAGAGCACTTGATGAACCAACCTGGACACAGAATATAATTTGAGGACACAGAAATGCTGGACCACTCTCACAACCACCATGTCAGGCTACACAGAGAAGCCATTGAAATCCACAAGCATGTGGACATCTTCAACAGAAAGGAGGAAACCATGAAAATGAACAAAATCTGGCTACCAGTTAAAAAAACTCTAAAATCAAGGACAGTAAAAGAACAACACTAGGAAAACAGGGGAATTTCCAGCACCGGGCCCGTAGCCAGGATTTTGTTTCGGGGGGGGGGGGCTGAGTTTGGTTGGGGGGGGCTGAGTCTGAGGGAAAGAGGGTCTACCCTAGCAAACCTTTTGTATTGTTACCCCAATACCCCCATGCATATTCCACACGCCTGCCCCCTAGCAAACCTTTTGTATCGTTACCCCAATACCCCCATGCATAATGGGATATTTTGAGTATAGTGATCAGATCATGATATGAATAAACATAGCAGTTTAAATATTGCACCAGTAAGGCCTTCTTGCAGACCACCATCAGAATTTGGGGGGGGGGGGGGCTGAAGCCCCCCCCCCCCCCAGCTACATGCCTGCAAACAGCCAACAATCAAGTGCCAGTTAACACCTTCCAAACAAAGGATGCCCCCAGGCAGCAACAGCCAGGCTTTGCAGTTGCAAGGCTACTCAATTGCTAATCAAGCTGGCTAATTGGACTATTCATACTTGCTTCAAACAGAAAAGAGTTACTTCTCCCACCCTGGACATTCCACAGTTTTATTTATTGATTGATTTACAGTATTTATATTCCACCTTTCTATTCAGTGCCATAGACACACAACATATATAGACAGACACAGAGGCAATTTAACATTCCAGCTTTTCTTGAGGGTATTCTGGCCACCAGGGGAGTTGTCTCTTCACCGTCCATTTGTGACACTGA